CTAAACCCTAAACCCTAAAACCCTGAGCACTCAAAGTCTTGCGACTTACCCGCCCCCCCCCTCCCCCCCCGCCCCCGCTTGCCGTCATCTCCAGGTCACAAGTTTTGAAATTGGAAGGACCCTAAACCCTGAACCCCAGACCCTAAACCCTAAACCCTGAACCCTAAATCCTAAACCCTAAACCCTAAACCCCAGACCAGCAAAACACCCAGCCACACTCTAAATCCTGGATCACAATGCTCGAACCCTTGATGCCTGAACCCTACCGAACGCGACAAAGCCTTGTCCAGGCAGGCGGCTTAATATACGGGCCTTAACACCATAGAATAGGGTTTTGGGGCCCATTCTACTATAATTATAATAAGGAGCCGGTCAAACTAGTATTTGTAATTATTTAGGCCCCTACATTAGCGTGTGAAGTTGGGCGCTTTGGGCTTTGGGGCACGGGTTGAGGGGTTGGAGCCTGGAGCTTCGGAGATTCTTCCTAAACCCTAAACCCTAAACCTTTTGCTTACGGTGGGGCTCTTCCAAAGTCGAATCCTGTCCTCTGAATCGAAGTTTTGCTGATAAAACAGTAGAGTCTGGAGCACAATCCTTGGTTTGGGGTTGGGCGGATGAACATGGTACCGTTTGTTGATTCTTCGGAATCCGTTGCGTGGGTGGTGTAATTCGACGGCAGCAGCGTTTTGAATAGGTATGTGGTTCAGGGTGTGTCGGTTTTTTGTCATACTTAGTTTGCAAGGTGGAACTATCCAAGCGACGACGGCGGTGGCGCAGTGTCTTGGCAAAGCTGTCTCAAAGGGCTTCCCACTTTCTGGGATTATGTAGGTTCTGTTACGATATCATGTTGCGAGGAAGTCGGAAACAGGTTTAGCTGGGTTTGCAGTGTGTTCTTGTACTCAAATAAAGGCCGCGCCAGCAACACGACGGAATGAGGCACTCTAAAGCCGAATGCAATATGCTAGTGCACGTGTATACCTGTGGGTATATATATACATCGCTTTTCGCTTTTCGCTTTTCGGGGCGTTGAGTCCGAGTTGGACGCAGCCATGGCGAAGATTGCACTTAATTTGACAGAGTGAAACGAAGCTCCCTACGCGAGCTCAAAATTGGCAAATGCTGTACCTCCCTTAACAGATTTAGCAAAGGGAGCAAATTTGCCGACAGCCTCAGCAATAGGACAAGAGACTTGCGGCAGGAGCAAACACGTAGGGGCTCTCCTAACCCAGAGGAAAAAGGCACCCCGCAGAAGGTCAGAGAAGAGTCGTAGCTGGTGAACAGGTCCTGACAAAGACCGAAAGGACCTGAGAGGAAAAGGAAGTCCAAAGGACCCGATCAATCCTTCACAGGAGAGAAGGATGAACTCAGTGGGATCGAGGCCCTTGAGCACCGATTCAAACACCAGCAGTTCTGGACAGCGCTGGAGTTGTGTGTGCAGGACACTCTGTCTGAACGGGTTGGAAATCCAATCGATCTCTGTTACTGCAGGGGTATACCTCACACCTGGTCTGCTAGGAGTCGGCACAATGGCAATGAACTCAACAGGGAACTCCAGCCAAGGTGTCAGAGTTGCAGCGTCACGGAAGGTAGCAGGGTTGGAATTTGATTCCTCACCACCCTCACACAACCACTCAACAAAGTCAACATCACATATCTGTCTGGCAATCTGCTGGTGCCAAACAGACCACTGGAGAGGGATCTGTTCATCGTCATCAAGAGCTCTCTGGAGCTGACTGTGCCATTGTTGGGCTGTGGCTCTTAAACGAGAGACCTGTAGGCACTGGGTCATGTAGACTCGTTTGACGGCTTCGAGTAGTTGTCCTTGGTCGCCAAAGACGTCTGTGTCATTACAAAAGCAGTCTTCTAGGGATTCGAGTATTGCTGCACAAGGCGAGTCAGCCTCTTCGCAGACAGGGGTAAAATCCCAACGACTACCTGGACCCTGAGCCTGAGTCACGGGGAGCTGGCAGTTCTTCCCGTCATCAAACTTGCGACTACCAACACCTGGCGCAGGCAGGTCCGCGAAGCCGGCATTGATCAGTGCATGTCTGCACAAAGTGCTATGTTCGAGGTGATTGCATAGGTCTCTGTTGGCTCGATATTGACGCAGGCAGACAGGGCACTGAGTGCCCCTAGCAAGCTTTCTAACAGGCTTGATTCTGCCATGCCGCTTGAAAGCATGGTGCGACCAGGAACATAGGCTGTCGAAGGCAACACGGCAGATACCACAGATCTCGCGTGAGTTGGCGACATCAACGAGATCACCAGGGATGACAGCCCCAGCCCTTCGAAAGGCCCGGAAGGCTAAGCCCTGATATTGCTGCTTCTCTGCAAGCCAGAGTTCGGCAAGGACTGCGGTTTGCTTAGCCCGGTTGACAGCTCTTTTCCAGCCGTTGGGACAACTGCGTATGTACGCGACAACGCCATCCCAAGTGTCCCATTCAACTTGGCTGGAATTAGCTCTGGCCTGTTGCTCCCTAAACCACACAAGTGAGTTCTCAGTTAGGCGAAGCCAATCCTTGTCGTAGTGGAGGATGGCCCACAGCTCATCTGTGGCTTTTAGGACTACAGACTTCAGGTGCCGGAGTCGCTCAACATGTAGGGCGGTCCATGGGCTGGCAATGCGCGCAACAGCGAGAACATACTGTTGGCTGAGATGACAGGATTGGTCAAGATCGTACTTGGGCCGAAGCATATGACGTGCCATCTGCACCAGGCAACTCTGTATTTTAACTGTCTCTTTTTCACCAACAATGGGCCATGTCCCACTTCCGTAGTAGAGAGTAGATTCAACTAGTGAAGTGAAGAGCACTGCCTTTTCATGAAAGGCAACTATCGGTGAACCAAAAACGAGTTTCTTATGCTTATTGAAAGCCTGCCAAGCAGATCCTATTCTGGCCCTAAGCTCTCGCTTCAAACCTCCACCTGCTTGTATCACGCCACCAAGGTGCTTATAGGAAGCAGCGAGTCTCAGGCGCGCTCCAGGCCAGAGGCTAGAATCGAGGTGAATCGATGGCTCGGAACCTGCAAATAACCGTGTTGGGGAACTTGTCTGGGAGGGTGGTCCCTCACCTCCTGAACATCTGCTCTCCCTCCTTGATGGACTTGACATATGGGTACCGTCAACCTATCCAGACATTCACCACGGTGAGTCTTATACGTGGGCTTCCCCAGGGCATGGGGCCACGTCCCGAATAGACTTTGTAATGGTACCCTCTAGTTGGCAGGTAGCTAATAAGGGTTCGTATGTCATGTATGACATTGACTTTGGCCACAAAGGGGTGGACCATTTTGGTGTCACCCTTGAGATACGTGCCTGGCTCCGACTACTGAACCGGGGAACCAATAGGCCAGTCCGGATCGACACAAGTAGTATGCAAGATCCCAAAGCCGCCCCGTTGTTGGACAACATTTGTTCCAACATTCCTGAACAACCTTGGCGCATCGACGCACACACTCACTATGCAGCCCTTGCCGAGCATTTAAGTGGGTCCTTAGAGGCGCAGTTCCCCGTCAAGAAGCGGCCACGAAAGTGCTCATACTTCAGTCAAACCACGTGGGACTTGCGGCAGCAAAGGGTGTATTTGCGAAAAAAGGTTGTCTGGTCCAGTAAGGGGTGTGCCAACACTGATCTTAGGGCAGCCTTCGCCAAGTGGAGCGAAGGTTCCAGCCTAACCAGCTGGTGCTATCGGAGTGTCGCGCGAACACTCTGTTCCCTCGCTGCCCTACAACGTAGTGTCGCAGACTTGAAAGCATTACAACCTGACTTAAAAAAGAGCATCCGTGGAGACAGGCGGAGTTACCTGTCACATATCGCGCAGTCTGCCAGTCAATCCACTACCAAGGACATAGTGCAGAAGTTACGCCCCTTGCTTGGTCCTCCCCGAAACAAGTCTAGGGGGTCTGTAGCATTGCCCCTCATTGAACTTGAGGATGGGACTGTCGCACAGGATGCAGCCCAGGCCGATCAGCGTTGGATCCGGCACTTCAGTTCCATAGAGGATGGCTATCTTACTGAGGCAGGCCAGCAGATCCAGGCATGTCTTGAGCGACAAGCGCAACTTGATGTCGACTGCCTCCAGCTCAGATGGGATGACGTCCCTAGCCTCCTCGACATTGAACGCTGCCTACGGGCGTCGCAATGTGGTAAAGCCATAGGGAATGATGGTGTTCCTGCAGACTTGCTTCACCTCAAGGCTTCTGCAATCTCCAAGGCCATCTATAAGGTCTTCCTCAAGGCAGCTTTCCGTATGCAGGAACCAATTGCATGGAAAGGAGGTACCCTTCACGCGATATGGAAAGGCAAAGGTCGACAGGCTGATTGCGCAAGTTACCGGGCCATATTAGTGAGCAGTTCAGTTGGAAAAGCCATCCATGGCACCCTCCGCAGCAAATGCTCACCGTTCCTTGACACTGCGTGCACGCCCTTACAAATAGGGGGTCGTCGCGGTCAACCTGTCCAAGTTGCCACGCAAGCAGTCCGGACTTTTCAGCACGCAAGCTTGAGGCAGAAATGCTCATGTGCCGTCTTGTTTGTTGACCTGCGAGAAGCGTTCCACAGGGTAGTACGCCCGTTAATACATGGTGGTTCGCTGAATGACCATCACGTTGCTGGCCTAGTACGTGAGCTCGGCCTTGAGCCCGAGGCCATACCCCGCCTCTATGACTATGTAAGGCAGAGATCGTTGATACAAGACGCCGGAGCTTCTCACTGGACTTCGCGCTTCATGCAGGAAGTTGGTGAAGATGCGTGGTTTACTTTCGGTGCTACCAACGGCTTTGCTCATGTGCGGGGTGGAACGCGTCCAGGTGACAATCTTGCAGACCTTGTGTTCACGTTTTTATTCGCCGAAATTTCCAACAGGATCAGATGTCGTTTTCGAGACGCCGGCATTCTGATAGACCTGCCATGGAGCCCTAGGTGGCTCTGTGGAGCCCCTGGGGCTTCTGAAGCCACGACAGGCTGTCATCCAGTAGACGTAACTTGGATGGACGACCTCTCAGTCCTCCTCCAGGCCCCTTCCCCTTCCAAGCTTATCGAGAACCTCCGCTTTGCTGCCACTACTACACTCGATGAGTGCCTGCAGGCAGTACTCCTGCCCAACCTCAGGGCGGGGAAGACTGAAGCGGTCGTAAGTCTCGTTGGACCTGGATCCCATAGCATTGCCAAGCAGGTAGGCACAGGAAATTGCAACCTGGCATTGAAATCACCGATTAGGACAGTGGGATCTCCTCTGGCGGTAGCTATGATACGGTCATGGAACTGCTTCCACCACGAGCTGCGATGGGGATCGGCGGCAGTCGGTGCATGGATCACGGAGATCACAAACCTGAGAGAACCCCGAGTAAACCTAACAATTAGGGAACGTGGACATGCAAATAGGACTCTGATGTCCTCGGGGCCGAAGAACCAAGGTGTGTGGCCTTTCCATGCAAATGGCACAGTTCTTGACAACCATAGTTCAACGCCATGATGCCCGGTACCATCCTGCTGAGATAAGTACCTGATGTGCGTCGCAGAAAGTATGGTCTCAGATCGCTTGGCTCTGGTCTCCTGCAACCCGATAATACAAACAGAGAGAGCTTCAAGCTGCTCTCTTACGAAAGGGACACGTCCTAGCAGGCCCGCAGCAGCATCCTCCTCCAACGTCTGCACATTTATGGAGACTATCTTGGGCGCGAAGAGGACATCTGCACTAACAGCGTCAGGGCCTGCTTTCCGTGCAGCTGGCCGTCTAACGACTCCGCTTTGTAATCTAGAAGGATCAGGTATCTTTGCGGAGCCCGGATCAATGAGGTCAGTACCTTGGAAGGTAGGCCAGCTGTGGGGTCGTAGAACAGACTCAACAAGGAGCCATAGCCAGGCAATGTCGCCTTTTTTGATCCATTGAACGAGTGATGCTATACCAGTTGGTATAGCAGTTGGCGAGATCGTTCGGTCCTTCGCAAGGACATCAGCAACCTCATTCATTGGGTGGCCCGCATGCGCTCTGACATGTCCATATTGGGCAAGAGAAATTTGGCCGGCAGACTCAGCAGCAGCGGCTACAGATCTACAAGCCTGTGCTATGGTGTCCTCAAAACCGAGCTGGCAGTCACCACTCGTTTGACCGAGCGCAGCAAGACAGTCTCCCCAAACATAAGCAGGAGTGGCTATTGGCTTTTGAAGGAGCCACGCATGTGCCCAAAACATCGCAGATTTTTCACCATTGATGGCGGAGTGCTCTGTGGCTCCGATGTAGAGAGGCTCTCCGCTGAGTTGGACCTCTCCCTTGGCATAACCGAAGATCCTAGAACCCTGTGGCCATGTGGCAAGGATGACGAAGGACCAGCTACTAAGGTGTCCATTATAGGAGCCGTCTGTGAAAACGTCAAAGCGCTCTATGCGATCATTACTCGGCTCTTCGTCGAGATGGCTGCGAATGGCAGCAGCAGAAGAAGGGTGGAGTACAATTCCATGCGGAAACTCATTGGGCAGCTCCCATTTGGTGCGAAAGATGCTTATGACATCATCAAGTGTTCGTCCCAAACACATGTTAACCTGTGATAGGTCATAGGCAGGGCATCTTGGCAGGGACGACTGCAGGCTAATGGCCTTGGAGAGGTGTCTTATGGGGTTTAGGGGTCGTACACATGGTGTACCTTCCTGCTGGGCCGTAGCCCTAGCACCTCGGTGTAAAGCTGGACCCCCGGCCCCATAATACTGCACTAAGGTTTCCAGCAAAGTGGCAGCCTCCCAAAAGGGTTTACCTTCCTGTGCCTGCGTGGCCTGCTCAAGCAAGGTTGGCCCATCATTAAGGGCGTAAAGTTCAAGAATGCCATGTGATGGCTCGGGAGGATCTACAGCAACTTTTGGCAGGCGGCCGTATGGGAGATCAGCAGCTGCCCTGCATGGAGTGGGCAAGGGTCGGTAGGCAGCAAGAGCAGTAGCTGTCAGATCTTCTCTTTGCCGATCCTCTAACCTGCCGTCTCGCGCTAGCTCGGTTGCCTGCAGTTGGACGGCCTCATTGGGCACAATGTGTAGATACAGGAGGGCAAAAAGCATAAGCGTTCGCCTGTTAATGACAGACCAGCACAGTGTGTGGGCAAGATAGACAGGCCATCCTATGGCGATTGCTGACAGGAGGAAAGAGGTGACTCCTATGCTGCCATCTTGGATGGCGTGCTGTGGGATACATAGGAACCACATTGCAACTCGACTGGCAGCGCATGGATCGCTTGTTTCGACCTGCCGGTGCTGACTGGTCACGTGGGCTGGAGAATGCCAGGCAGGGTCGGCATCAGCGACACCAACACCTTCATGGCGCCCACTATGTTGTCGAGGATTTCCTCGATCTCGCGCCCTGCTTGTGCCACCTGTTCCAGCGTCCCCGGAAGATGACCCTGGCAGACTCACAGTAGCATTACTACTGCGATCTTCGGCACTATCGTCGCCATCGTCAGCCTGGCTATATGCAAAGGAAGACGGGTGCAACTCAGTAGTGACCTCCTGATTAAAGTTAGGATGGAATTCAGCAACGATCACATCACCGGCTTCTACCCGTCGACTGTGATTGGCTTGGTCTCCAGTAGTACGTCCCCCAAACAGTCGAACATGATGGCCTCTTGGACACCTAGTGTATAGCCTCCTGGCAAGCTGCGCTACATCAAGCTGTCCATCGGCTGCATACGCCCACGTTATGTAGAGATGCAAGGGACGCAAGTCAAGGACGTAGGGGATTTTTGCACTACTATGAGGGTAGTCGTCAAGCTGACATGCAATCATGACTCCGAGAGACCCTATACCGTTCCTAGAGTGGTCAAGGATGGCTGGCGCAGAGTGCACGAGCGTAAATTGGCCAGGAGGGAGTCCGAGTGCAGCAGCTGTCGACGCACTATGCACAGCAAAGGCATCCCGTTCGATGTGGACAGCGGCCTGCTCTCCATCCGATAGAACCCAAGCTTGATGTCCTATTTCCTCTGTGAGGTACGGAGCGAGTTCCCATTCCTGTTGCTCGACAAGCATCTCGCCAGCATCAGGAAGGCGCTGTTGCCTTTCTCCATCTTCATGTATGGAGATGAGATCCCCTTCCTCAGGGTATACGTTCGCCCCATCTGGCACCTGCCATGGTACATCTTTACAGAAGACGGCACACTCAGCGTCTTCCTCGAGTCCGACAAGAGAGAGGATGGCTGTGCGACTAAGTACGTGCGGAACAATGACTGAGAAGATGCGAGGCGGGGCAACATGCCTGTCCAGAAGTACAGCGACACCAACACTGGGCCATCTTGGAAGTGCAAGGACACAGATTTGTCGCGGACGTGGCTGTGGGAAAACCGGGATCACCCTGGGACTCCTGCGCTGGGCATCAGGCGCACGAATCTGTGTGACAGTCGTGATGGCTTCATTGATTCTTGCTGGTAGCCGAATGGAAGGAATAACAATTTCAGTGGCGTACTCCTGTGCAAATATCAGGAACGGGACTAGGGTAGTAAGGCTAGCAGCTCTCCTATGGCTGGTGGTACTGCTACCGTCGTGCACTGGTGTTGCTTCAGGAGCAGCTGCTGCAGGTAGACCAGGAATATTATTGGCGTGTTGCTGGTCTGAGGCACCTGCGTTGGCGGGACCATCACTGTGAAGGGAGGCAGGGCCATCCTGCCCAGTGCCTGGGGCATATTCTACTATAAAGACTTGACCTGGTCTAGCCTTAACCCATGCTCCCTCGTCAGCCCCATGGCTGATAACAGGTGACCAGCCTCTAGGAGCCCTGTTGCCTAGACTATGTATGACAGATCTTAAGTCAAGTTGCCCATCAAAAGCACGTAAGGCCTTCCAGCCCTCTTTGATGGGTCGGCAGTCAAGCAGACAGCTGCACCAAGCAAGTCTATGGCTGGTATGGGCAACATCAACTGCTAACACTGTGCGGCAATGGTGACCTTGCTGCACTACGTCATCAGCACGGGGGCAGGCTGCCTGAATACTGAGGTCGTGGGGATCTGCCCCAACGGTAGTAGCAATATCCTTCCTATACTGCGTTGGACGGTGTGCGTCTGCAAAGTGAAGGCATGACCTTTGCTTCCGGACTACACAGTAGGCGTCTGGGCCTGGGGCAGCCTCACGGTCGTTGGACCGTAGCCAAGATCTGGTGCTGAGTAGGCGTTGCCCAAGCGTCTCAAAGTGAGGGCGGGTTGCTCCCTTGGGCAGAAAGCACACTAGTCCTGCGGGGAAAAGGTGGATGGGAAGCCCGTCAGGAACGGGTGCTGCATCAACACCTGTAAAGACCTCTATCTCTGACTCGTCAAGCCCGCGGAAGTTGGCTATAGCGATCAGTTCCTGTTTAGTAATATAATCAGGAGCACTGGCAGCGAAACACCTACCGTCAAGTGGTGCAGTGCTGAAGCATTGTCCCTGGTTTTCACCAGCCCAGCTCGGTCCAGAGATGAAAGTAGCGTGCTGCTCGGAGGGCTGGGGCAGTACCGGGATCAGAACAGGATACCTCCATCTATGTGTTGGGTCTCTTGCGGCCTGAACAGCATAACTTAGTTCAGTGATCGTTGCAGGCAGCTGGAGCGCTACAGTGACCTTCTCAGAAACATAGCTGTCCTTGAGGATAACACAAGGAACCCACTGGACTGTCTCATCGTTAGAGGAGGAGTCAGATTCATCACCGGCAACATCAGTCCCGTCCTCAACTGCTATGAATCCTGGTACTTCATCTCTAAGCCACCTTCCCCCTAGCTGCAGGACCACGGCACGCAGGTGGGTTAGGTGCCTATTAGCCCCACTAGTTGGTCCAACTGGCTCTTGCAGCAATTTATTGGTTATGGCAGCTTGGACTACAGGAAACCAACTGAACCATACTGCACTCCAAACAGTGATTATTGTGGGGAGTCCAAGACGAAGAGCATCCCAGACAAACCGAAAAAGGGTACCGGTGGCAATGAGCAGTGCCCATGCTCCTAGTGCGAGGTCCGAATAGGGCCTGTCGGCCCCACCAGTGGCGCTAGAGTCAGCCCGCACAGCCTGAACAAAGGCTGAGCCAGGACATAATAAGACCGCGAGTTGGAGGACTGCCTTTCGATTTTGTGCATCTGTTGCGAAGTTCGCAACATGCCCAGGGGGCAGAGAAGCCCTGCGGTGCTTCGTTGTGCCTGCGCATCCCCTAGGGCCGCCCTCAGTGTCTGAGTTGTTACCCCCTGCATGTGCAGACGAAACAGCATCTCCAGTGGCACCGGAGATGATGTGAGGTGCGGACGGCCGCTCGTCTTGCTCGTGGCTTTCTTCGTTGTCACCATCGGTGTCTTCTTGGCCCTCTAGTTCTATGGACGTTGGCGGGGTGACGTCTTGTATGAGGGCGGAATTAAGCCTATAACCAAAAATGAGGACTGTCCCTTGCGGAGACTTGTCACCAACTGCAGGGGCACACCTGGTGTAAACAACATGGTGCAATGGCGGTGGCCTTAGACCTAACCAGTCTGCGTACCCAAGAGGGTCATCGACATCCTCTGTGTATATCGAGGATAT